CGTATGTCTCTGGAGATTTTTCCAACCTGGGGATGAAATGCAGCTTGCAATTAGATCCACCTAGCACGGTATTTACAGAGCTGAGCGCGAGATACTTTCCATCTGCAGAATTTACATCTCTCCCTAGCCTCTCCTTTTCTCCTGAGAACACTTTCATAGGAATTATTATTCAGTATTCATACCATACTTCCTTCCTGTCGTATTTAAGTCATCAGTACGATGCGTCTGTGGAATGTGATTTGTTTAACAACGACATACAGAGTCAGGGGTATACGGATTCATAAAAGTTTCGACAGTTTCATTTTTTCCGCGTTAATTCCGCGTATTCACGAAACTCACTGAAATATACGACGCCGCGTTGGCATCGACCAGAATTGCTACTATCTGTCAATCCAATTATTCCATAATCAGTCAACCAATAGGAGAAAAGCTGTCCGGGCTGCACTCCATGTTTATTAGAGATATAAACATAATTCGATAACATTGATAATTTTAATCCTTGATCGATTAAAATGACTGAGTAGAATTTTACGCAGGAATTAGATATATTTCCTACAATAATATAAACATTTATTGTATTTTTTAATATTTATTGTTTACGAGAAGGGGTCTGTACAAAGAAAATTATTATAGTAAGAGAAAGCTTGATGTCATATTAAAATTTTATCATTAAAAGATTTATTATTGTTTTCGGAATACGCTGCAAGAGATGTATATAATTATATTTATTTTATAGACGTATGTATTTATTTGTCAAGTAGCCATATATTAAAAAATGTTCTTACCTTTTAATGTTCATATATATTTGAATATCTTATCATTATTATTATAGAGGATAATTGCATTTCTTTAAGATAAAGTCTGGAAGTCTTCGAGTATTCTATTTGAAGACTAACTTTGTTCGAAGAAACGTTTTAAAACGTTTGTCCGCGAGAAAGAAATTTTTTCCTTTAGTAGAATAAATTACACGTCGTTTAAACGTTTGTTTAGTATACTGGTATTGCAACTTTAATGAAGAAAAATCTCACATTGCATATCTTTTAGATAGCATCGTAACCCTGGTATCAAGCCAACTAGATTAATCTGTTTTAGGGCAATATATCATTGCTAACGCTTATTCCATAGTCTGTCAGTTCTTTCGGTGCAAAAGAACAATACTGAGATTTATATGGAAATTTGCCGGTCCTCTTATATTTCATGTATTTTAGTTGGAGATCTCTAGGGTAAAAAAAAATGTACCTACACAGCATATGTCGTCTCTTCAAGTCTCGCTCGCGAGCATTTTTATCCGCCATTCGATTTGCATTGTAGATTTAACCGGAAAAAGCGCATAGAGATTTTTTTAGATAGAACCTTAGAGTTATATAATGTAGCATCAACGTCAAGCGCTTATGAGAGTATTACATATGAAATGTCAGTTTTGCATTAATATTATTCTATACATGTTAATTTTAGAGAACTTAAAATATGTCTATGAAATTTATAGATCAATCCTAGTAATTTGATAAAACGGAAGATGAGATAAAATTCGGTCAAAAAAGCATTATATAATTTTATACATGTAAAAATATCGAGCTAATTAATCAAACTTCTCTGAATTAAGGCGCTTCAACACGAAATCGCGGAAAACGACACGGTGCGTGTAAGCACGGTAGAATTCGCGGTGGATCTATAGTTGCAAAGGCAGAGCTTCACCGACGCTGCTTGGTGGTTGGTTAAGTAACGAGCAGTGCATATTTAGCCGTGGCTTCTCTGCAGAGACATGCAAATGTACAGCGATGGCTCCTCTTGGTTGGTTGCCTCTATACTACGTGAAATATACTCCGCTTCATGCTTAATCAAGATTTCGCTGGCCATTATACTCCGGAGAACCGTTCTTCATAAAGTTTTGCATTTTGACAAATCTCCGATGTGTAAAGACAATATAAATTTCTATCTTTGATTTCTTTTATATTGTTTCTACAATTAAATACATACATATGTAACAATCTTTTTATTTGCTTATTAAAATTACATATAAATTTTTACTATTTTATGATAATTTTATGGATATATAATTTTATGAATATAAGAAATATGTAAATGTAGAACACACTCTGTGTACATTTATCATTATATGTATGTATATATGTATGTATGTATGCAACTTGCATTAATCTATCGAAATTTTTGACTTTAACAAATAAATAAGGAATGCGCGGATCGTATAATAAATATATGTCGTAATTTGGAATTTGCATGAAATGAACAAGGATAAGAAATAGACCCAATGATGTAAAGTATTTCATCTAGAATCTAGAGTATGTGATGAGATGGATTATTTATTATTCAGTATAAAATTAATAACACTTTAATTATTATATATTTATATGCACAACATAGAAATTTAGAAATACCACACATATTTATATTTTATATTTACTGTCTTTTATTACTGCATCGCGGACAGCAAACGGGGTATTCAGAATGACGTTCATTTTGATGTTGTCCTACGTCTTTTTCACAGCTACATCTAAAGCAAATATATAACAATAATATACATATATTAACTTTATTTAACAATTGAATATTTTTAGTGGCAATCAATATGTATAGGTAGGGGGGTATTAAGGGTTTTGCGCGCGTGTATGTGTGTATGTGTTATATAATTTATTGAACTTACTCTTCTATTTTGTATTTATTCTGCGATGTGCATGTTACTTTGACACACCTTTGCCGATCTCCTGCGGGAAGTACTTCACTGACACAGTTTTCTGAAATAATTTTTATGACACACTAAAATATGAAAAAAGAAAATATCTCTTTTACATGCACAATATACAATTAATTTTTAAAAAATTTAAAATTAAATATTAACATATATACAAGATAAAAGATTAGGTATATTTGAAAAACTCTTATTTTATTTATTATTTATAAAGAAAAGAAGACATAAGGAACACGTTTAGATCTTCTAATAAATCATACTTTTGGCAGAGACAGATATATAATACACTTTCGCAAACTTATTTAAATTATCCTATATATATTACGCACTGTATGAAAATAGATAGATAAATTTATACAAGACCTCATAGTAAAGTTACGTACCATATTTAGGAACCTGCATTGAATAATGCACGAATAGGAGGAAAATGCAAAACACTGCGAAACGTTTCATTGTGCAATATATATATTATATGTTGTTACGCGAGAGAGATTCAACAAACTGTTATGAAGAATCTTAATGCCGAACTAAATTTATAGTGTTCCGCATAGTTGTAAGGTCAGGAGTGAAGATAAGGATGTAAAACGTTTGCATCTTACGCTTGATTGCTGCCACATTATATAATTTTTTCTAATCATGCTTAGAGTTTTTTATATACATACTTAAGATAAGACGATAGCATGCAATAGTTACAATGTGAATGAGGTAATTAATAGATAAAATTATAAAATTCCATGGACTGTATTGTGTATATTAAACACATTTCAGCATTTTTCTTTACAGCTAAATGTATCGAAACTTTACATTATCTATTAATAAAGTAAGTAGTTCTTTATAATATATGTTCGGAAAAATTTAATATAAGTCTGCAAAATTTTTTCCGCCCATTCAAATTTTTTCCGCCATTTTTTTTAGTACAGTATTAAAAAATAATTTTTTTTTTTATTGTGAACCGATTAAATAGATTAATTTAATTTAGATAAATTGCGTTTCTTTTTACATTCACTTTTTTACTTTTATTAGAGAATTATTGTTATCGATATCAATATCTCGCTTACGATTTTCTCAACAGCAGAAGCTTAATCGGATTAAACCGAGCAATGTTAGATATAAGAAGTTCGCACACGCATTCTGTAAGTGGTATTCTCAAAGGCATTTTGGATTTGGTCACGAAGAAATGGTAAGAAAGAACGCACTCACAGAAGTACACCGTATCGCGGATATGTCGTCGGTAGGCGAGTCCATTCCCAAGGCTTTGTTGAACGGGATTGATACCGACCCCAGGGGACATGCCGAGCTAGAAGATCTCTATTATGTCAAGAAAAGGCGAAATGAGCTTTTTGGGACTTTCGTTTCGTTCGTTCTCGCTGAGTCGATTACTCAATAAGAATCATTTTATCATCGACGACAAATTTCTAATTTACAAAACAAATTTATTGGTTTAATTTGCACAATAAATCAAACCGCATTAATTATATTATTTAATTTTAATTTTATAGGCATAATTAACATTAGCATTTGTAGCATTAGCATTTTTGTTGGGTTTATATGATTTGTTATGAAATAGCATCGTTGTATATTAAATAACGCGCAATAGGAGACCATAAAAATCAATATGTTATCAATAGCGTAAACAGCTGTGTAGGAAAATAAGATATGTTAACATAAATTTATATTTGATAAACTTAGAGTTCAAGTACTCGTATTGTAACAATTTTGTTCATGATTTTACTTTGTGTCTTATATTGCTGCAAATATTCTTTAATAAATAAACCTTTGATGCGTTTTATTTAGTGTAAAAGATCTTTTTGAGTTTCATAGTAGAATCTCTCTCAAAATGAGAAAAAAATATTTACATTATCATAAATTTAAAAATAGAGATATAAAATTTATAGATATAAAATAGCTGTAACTGCTTTCAGAACGTACCATTTATTATTTTTGAAAATAAAATATTCATACGTAAATCAGAAAGAAGTACCAAGATTTAGAAATATTTATCGTAATAAAGCATATAATTGGAAGCTGCAGTAACATTTTATTGTATGTATAATTGATTTATTGATTCTATTTTGATGTTATTTACAACGTGTAGTTACATATATTTCTTTTGATTAATTAAATATGTATTATTAATGCAAATATGTTTTAAATAATTTATGAATGTTTGATATGCGGGATGTTAAATGGGAAATAAGATGTCTATACATTAATCCAAGAAATCAGGTCGCATATGAATTTGGAGCGAACGGAGTAAAATCCATCACAAAATCTGGCACACAACAGGGTCGTAAATAATCAAAGGCTCTTCGGTGCTGCGACCCGACAACAATATTGTAACACTGGGACTACCGTCCCCGATAACATACGATTGACAGGGTAGTCTCTATCGGCGTACATCCTATCTTCGTCTACGTGACAGGTACCGCTGCAGTTGCATTGGAAACGGGCGATACGTATAACGTGAAGATCTCCGACATCCGCGAGTGTGTAATAATTTTCTCTCTTTAGTTGTAGTAACTCGTCGCCGCTGTTGATATTCGAGAAAAACAAATTTGTGTTGTTTTCCCTTAAAACTCGTTCCGGCAGAATAGCGGCATACCTCTCCTTCATTTCCTCTGCGTCTTTCATCGCTTGGCGAGCCTTCTGCAAAAAGATATTGCATGAATTACAGCGAATCAATGCCACAATAAAACAAATCTAAAGTTCTATGCATTGTGCTTCGCAAAGTGCTCCGCATTGAAAACCCTCCTCTCCCCTTTTCGCCCGCGTCTGGCTGGCAATATCATCGACCACCCCCAGTGTGCGATGTTTCAATATTTCATCGCTTCCGCTTTATTCGGCTGTACGCGAGCGTGATAAAAAATAAAGTAGGCTATCGCTGTCGTGCTCTTACCACGATCTCCGACTCGCTCTGTTTATCTTCGGCGAGCTTCCGCCATTTTAGAAAGGCAGTCTTATACATACTCTTCGCTTTTTCGTATTCCGGGTGAACGTCAGTAGCGAGGCTCTTGTATCCGAATGCGCCAGCTGCGCTGGTATTGCCGTCTCTTCCGTCAGAGCTACCGCCGAGGAACCAGACGGTGTAGTTTCGCAAAATTGGATATTGCTTTGTACGCATGTACCAATATAAGGAAAAGTAGAGGGCGAGTTCTTGATTGGGGCCACCTTTGCCGGAATTCTCGCCAAGATTAACGGTCGGTTGACCTCCCAGCAAAAGGCATAGCCCCAGACCCCATTTGTCCTTCGTAGGAAACATCTCCCACACCTTCTGATCGGTCAGAGGACATATCGGACTTTCCTTCATTTGCTCGTACATTTCTAACTTGGTAATTTTGTTCTCAACCGCCAGGATCATTAGCGACGCGATCTTCACGTACTCCTGCGCGAATTCCTCGACGGTCCCGCCACAGGTGGAGTTTAATTTCAAAGGGGACAGCCCCAGTTTAAGGGCTTCCGTCGCCATGCACTCTATAGCATCGGCGTTACACGCGATCACATATTGCTGCACGAACTTATACCTCTTCTTCTCGTCCAATTGGGTATCCGCCCTCGTCTTCCGGGGGTCGGCTTCCCCTAACAGTTCGCGAACGTTCTGCGATACTTTGTCGATAAGTTTATACTTCATTAAAATAGCTAAGGCTCTTTGATCCTTTGGATCGTAAACGCACGGACCACCTCCCAATTGTTCCGATGGTTCTGCTGACACGTCAGATGTGAAGAGGGTGATGATTTTAGCCGGATAAGCCAAACGTGCCAGATCACCGCCTGAAAAAATTCTCTTTTATTATATTCTTTGTATCTAAAGATGTTCTTTGAATTACGTTCAAAAGAAACAAAAATGAAATTTTTATGTGTGATTATAATTTTTTATGTTTTTAATTATAATTTTTGTTTTTTTTAATACAATAATATAAATGTGTGTAAAATTAAATAAAAAATCATTGATCAATGCAATTTAATTTTTACTGTCAAATGCAATATTATTTAATCATAACGAAAATAACGAAATTAATCTGCCTTAGATTACATTTGTCTGTTTAATAAGATCATGCTTAGACTCTCGATGGAATGCTCGATGGAAGGGCCGAAATATGAGTTGAAAGTTTCATCAGAGAGAGAAGCGACTAATAAAATTTTCTCGCACCTAACTAAACCACTTACCTCTTATCGCAGAAAGTTTATTTCTCACGATATTGATCTCTTCGAGAGTCGCATTAGCAGTTTTTAACCTGTTGAGAACTCTTAACTTATCTTTCAATGTAATTGTATTTTGCGGGCAGCACAGAAGATCGTCTAGACCTCGCGACAACATAACTATCAATAAGTCACGTTTTTTCAGTCGCTTACAGTACTTCGCGATTTTCTGCGTCATTTCGACTGTTTTCTGGTCTGGTTGTCCATCCATCCCGACTTCAACGAAAGTTATACGACTGTCCAACTTTGGAAACGCTTCCGGAAAGTTCCACATCATAGAGATCGATTTGCGAGGTACTACTATAAATCCTCTTTTCAGTTGTTTACCAACCACTTTTTCAAACGCTGAGCTCATTGTAACAACTTCCTTGCCCCAGCCAACAATATGTAAATTATTTTTTATTTTGTACTTGACATTGTTAATTGTTAGCGTCGCACGACCATCATACTTAATCTTCTTAGGTATAATTGCTGACGGATAAATGCATTTTATACTCGCTTCGATGACAGCACTGAGATCTTTACGAATCTGTATTCATCGAGAATTTCGATATTTTACGTAAGTTTATACATATATTAAAGCGGAGATTTTAGGGAGCTCTAAAATATTTTTATAATTATTATAACGTTATAATTTATATTATGCTCTTGTTATATCAATGTATTATATAAAATTATGCCATTAAAATATTGTTGCATTATAAACTGTTAATACTTTCATGACTAAATATTTGTTAATTAACAATTTAAAACATGCATAAATAAATATTGTCATGTGAGGTCAAAAATATTATATTTGTTTAAAAATTAATGATTTTAGAAAGATTTATTTATGAGGATCATATACATTATATATATATATATATATCGATGATGAACATTGAAAAGAATGGTAAACCGAAAGTAGGTTTTGTTAAAGTTGGGGTTAATAGCATGACTCGAATATAATCGCATATGAAATGGAAAGAGATAAAAATTCTCTTTTATGTGAGATTTAATAAACATTATATATAAGATAAAATATATTGAAATACATATGTATTTTATTTTCTCGAGTGATTATAGCGATAATCATAGTACTGAAAGCATCAAATAACTTTGTTCTTTTAATACGAAACAGTAAAAAGACTGATTTGATGTCACATTATAACCTGCAACATTGTTTTTTCTCCGCGTAATTTTTTCATATCTCTAATTTCTTTTTGCCGAATGCTTGCTTCTATGTTGGAACGCGCATTTTCTATCGCAATCCTATCAAATCGTCTTCGCTTTAAAGAAAATTCCACGTCCTTTATGACTTGCTGTCTTTTGGCTTCCACCGTCGCGATTTTTTGCGCTGTTTCTTCTTGTTTCAACGGATCTATCTTTTCCTGTTCGCGTAGTTTGTGTTTTTTCTTATGTTGTTGCATGATTTAATAGAACTTTTATGATTTTGTGAAAATATTGTAAAATTATCGGAAATAATTGATATGGAATATTATGATATGATTGAGTGTTACATTTTAGGTTATTAAGCTGACAATATAATTTCATGTTGCTTTCGGTTATTCTGTTTTAATCATAAAAGCGTTAAATTAATTTTAATTTACTATATTAATTTTCATATAAATTTTAATGTAAAATTCGTCAAATTCGTTTGTATAGTTACTAATTTCTTTCGGCTCTTAATTGATTATTAAAAACAAGAAATAATTAATCAAGCATTAGTTTATCTGTTTATCATAAAAAATAACAAACTGTGTGATAATTTATCTATTATTTTAATTATATATCTATTTATTGTTTCTCTTTAAATGTATAATAAATAGGTACGATATATTTATGCTAATCATAATTACTAATTTTTATTAATCGCTATTATTAAATTTATGTTTGGTATCGTAGTTTCTATCCTTTTTGATGTAACACCAAAATATTTTATTAATGTATGCTTTTCTTATCTTTGTTGATCGAAATATAATAATTGCTATTATTGATGAGACAAATACTGTTAAACATTCATAGTTGCTAGTAAATAAATTTTATGTCTGACTTGTTAAATTGCCGGTACTTTCAATGAAAAGGTAACAATGTTTTGAATAACGCAATTATCTTACGATATATTAATATCTGACACGAGAGAATATGTAAATGATATATATCAGAGAGGAGTTTGAGTGACCATCCTGTCGTTTTTCTTGGAATGATTATCAAGTCTCGTTTAAAATTGTTATTTGTATCTTTATTATTCTAGAGAAGCAATATACTAAAATAAATAAAAATTGCAGACTTATTAAAAGGTATAATTAAATCTATATAGCAGATATATTTTCCTGATTGGTCCACTGACCCACAATTTATGGATGCAGCACAGACTCGCACCAAAAGATGATTTTACCAACAGTGTTGAACAATGATCGTGGCAATTTAATTCTACATAGCCTCGAAAGTGAATGTAGATGTCAGTATTAATCAAGTCTTGGTAAGTGTTCCATGAAAAATGCGAAATGGTCGCTTTCTTAAGTTTCTGACTGGTTATACGTATTGTAGGAAAATTAAAGAGGTTATGACAGACAAAAATATATTAAACGGAATACAGCGTTTCTAAAATATAATACAGACTGTGCGAGAGTGGGAGTGTATGAGACTTTTTTAGAAAATGATCGATGTTCATAAAAATTAACGGGACATAAAATTATGTTCAGTAATTGAGCGACAGTTTATTACGGTTTACTAGTTTGTACAACAGAGGCTGGAAAGTCATCTCCAGAGAAATAATGGAAAACCGTTACGCTTTATTTCGTGTCGCATTAGTGCTAAATATTCTTATCCTAGTTATTTCCTTCACGGGAGTGATAAGCGCTCCAGCGAAGCCAGCGACTATCACAGAAGTTATGAAGATTGATAAAAATCTATGCGATACATCTAAATTTTTATACGAATCAGAATATACAAAACTTTGTGCATTATTGCCATATCCTAACGCTTCTTTGAGCTTCACTGCTGAAAATTTAAATATTTTTCTGTGTTTAGGAGTTTATGATACAGCATACAAGATTTGTCAATATTCTAGTCAATTGCTCCCTCAAATTCTACGCTTTAATAGTACAGCAGTATTAACTACATATGTAGAGAAATTTGCTCCTTCTGCAAATCAAACCCAGGAAAAGGAATTTTGCGATAGTTTACAAGGATTTACATCATTATACAATAAAACAGATTCATTTTTGAACCTATTGGTTGAAAGTCTTAATAAATCGCATAAATGTCAGAAAATATGTTTTGATTTAGAAGAAAAGTTCAGACCATTATGTGCAGTATTTGCTTGGATTAAGAAAATTGATGACATTAAGAAAGCAAAAAGAACAGAACCAAAACATGTGACAATTGAACCACTTACAACTCCATTAAATGAAGCAAGTAATAATAAAAACAGCTTAGAAGTTGCAGTTAAGAAGATATTTGAAAACAATAAAAAGAACACAAATAAAATTATAAATTCTAAGAATGATAACAAAGTTGAAGAAATTAATTTAAATGTGTCTGGAATTGTACCAATTGTAGAATCTGATGTGGAGAAAGTAAAACCTGATACTGAAAAGTCAAGCAAGGCTGAAAAGAAATCAAATAATGCATCGATAGGCACACAACCTTATGAAGTATTAGTATCTGTACCGTTTGAAGAAAATGAAAAGAATACTATTGAAACTGATACTAATAAAATTGCAAATCCTATAAACAATCCTGCAAATGATGATTTACAAGTTCCGTCAATAAACAATCCTGCAGATGATGTGCCAAAGAAAGATCTAAATGAAGAAAAAGGAGAGGAAGTTAACAAGGAGCAAAATACTGATGATCTAAAAACTAGTACACTATCTGAAAATACACAAGACCATTATGATGTCGGAAATCCAGAAGAAGATATTGAACCTAATGTAGCAGACAGCAATAATGGTATGAATGTTCATAAACTTATATTTGTCTAATAATTTATTTTTGAAAATATATATGAAAGACAAAAATGATTACATCTTGAAATGTATGAAAACCAATTGGAATTTTCTATACATCTATATAATTATATATTTTGTGTCACATTTTATTTGTACACACAAAAAAATAAACTTTTGTAAAAATATATA